TCATCTTTCAGTCCCTGGCAACCTCTAATCAGCTTTCTGACTTTGTGGATTTGTGTATTCTGGGAATACACAATAATAATAATAAATGGAATATATGGAATAAATGGAATAATAAATAATAAATGGAATTATACAGTATGTGACCTTTTGTTGTCTGGCTTCTTTCACTTAGCATAATGTTTTTAAGGTTCATCCATGTTGTAGTGTATGTCAGTACTTTATTACTTTTTATGAATGAGTAAGATTCCACTATATGTATATACTACCTTTGTTTTTCCACATATCAGTTCAGAACACTTCAATTGTTTCCACCTTTGGCTACTATGAAGAGTTGCTGGTATGAACATTGGTATGCAAGTTTTTGTTTGAACACTTACTTTCTATTCTTTTTGATTTTTAGTTGACCTTTGAACAGTCCAGAGGTTAGGGACATCAGTGCCCAGCACAATCGAGAATTCGGATATGATTTTTGATTCCCCAAAAATTTAACTGATAAGCAAACCAACTGTTGGCCAGAAGCCGTACAGATAACATTAATAGTCAGTTAACAAATATTTTGTATGTTTAATGTATTATATACTGAATTCTTACAATAAAGTAAGGTGCAGAGAAAATGTTATTAAGGAAATTATAAGATAAATTGTTTTATATTAAATGTATTTATATTTTAAAATCTGCATGTAAGTGCACTTGAGCAGTTCAGACCCATGTTGTTTAAGATCCACTGTATATCGAGGGGTGGGATTGCTGATCACATGGTAACTTTTTGATAAACCACCCAACTATTTTTCACTGTGGCTGTATCATTTTACATTTTTACCAGCAATACACAAAGATTTCAATTTCTCCACCTTCTCATCAACATTTATTTCCCATTTTTGGTTTGTTTTTTATAGCTATCCTACTGGGTCTAAGTAGTAACTCATTGTTATTTTGATTTACATTTCCCTAATAACTAATGCTGTTGAGTATCTTTTTCTGTGCTTTTTAGTCAGTTGATATTTTCTTTGGAAAAATGTTCAAGTCAGTTTTTTATTTCATTGTGTTTAAGAGTTCTTTATATATTCTTCATAGCAGATCCTTAGCAGATATGTAATTTGCAAATATTTTATTCTGTGGATCTCTTGAAAGTGTTCTTTGATGTACAAAATTTTTTAACTCTAATGAAGTCTAATTTATCCATATTGTTGTTGTTGGTTATGCCTTTGGTGTCATATCTAAAAAATCAATCCCAAATTCATGAACATGAAGGTTTATCCCTATGTTTTCTTCCAAGAGTCTTGTATTTTGGGCTGTTAAATTTAGGTGTTTGATCTACTTTGAGTTAGTTTTTATAAATAGTATGAGATAGCAGTACAGCTCTTTTTTTTTTTTTTTTTTTTTTTTTATGTGGATATCCAGTTTTCTCAGCATCATTTGTTGAAGAGACTATTCTTTCTTAATTTAATGGTCTGGGCACCTTTGTCAAAAATTAATCAACCAAACATATATGGGTTTATTTATGGACTTTGTATCCACTAATCTATAGATCCTTCCCTATGTACCAGACTGATTAGATGACAATAATTTTGTAGTTTTGAAATAAGAAGTATGAGTCTTTCAACTTTGTTGTTTTGAAGATTGTTTTGGCTACTTGGGGCCTCTTACAATTCCGTATGAATTTTAGGATCAGTTTTTCTGTTTCTTCACAAAAAGCATGAGAATTTACTTATGGGTTGCATTCAGTCCCTAGATCACTTTGTGTAAGTATTGCTGTCTTAACAATATTGTCTTCGAACCCATGAATATGGGATGTCTTTCCATGTATTTGGGTCTTTTCAGCAATATTCTTATAGTTTTCAGTATGTAAGTTTTGCACATCCTTGGTTAAATTTATCCTTAGCATTTGTTAATATTTTTATAAATGGAATTGTTTTCTAACTTCATTTTCTTTTGTTTAACGTTTAGATGAGTACTTTGTCCATTTAATTTTATTTTATTTTTAATATAATTTGTTGTCAAGTTAAGTAATATACATTGTATACAGTGTGCTCTTGGTTTCGGGGGTAGATTCCCGTGTTTATCTCTTACATACAACACCAGTGCTCATCCCAAGGAGCCCTCCTCTATGTCCATCACCCATTTTCCACTCTCCCCCACGACCCCTCCCCCAGCAGTGCTTAACTACCCTACAACTCAGCAACAGCACTGCTAGGAATTTATCCAAATCAGGAGTGCTGATTCATAGGGGCACTTTTACCCCAATGTTTATAGCAGCACTTTCAATAATAGCCCGATCATGGAAAGAGCCCAAATGTCCGTCAACTGATAAATAGATAAATAAGATGTGCTTTATATATACAATGGAATCTTTCTCTTAGCAATGAGAAAGAATGAAATCCTGCCATTTGCAACAACGTGGATGAAACTGGAGGATATTATGCTAAGTGAAATAAGTCAGTCAGAGAAAGACAGATAACATGTTCTCACTCATGTGGAATTTGATAAATGTAACAAAAGACCATGGGGAAAGGGAAGGGGAAAAATAGTATCAAACAGAGAGGGAGGCAAACCCTTTATTTTCTGATTGTTCATTGATATATATATATATATATATATATAAACATTTTTGTGTGTGTATGTGTGTGTGTGTTGATCATGTATCCCGCAACTTTGCTAAAATTGCTTGTTAGCTCTAATAGTTTTTTGTGGATTCCTTTGGGATATATATATATATATATATATGATTATGTCATATGCATTAGAAATTTTTTTAGACCTATTTATTACCTTTATATCAGTGTTTTTTCAAGTTGCCGGTCACAGCCTATTAGGAGAACATGAAATCAATTTAGTGTGTAAGTTTTGTTTTGTGAAATTTTTGTGTATAAAACATAGATGTATGCATGTATTTGATGTATAAATGTATAAAATGTGTTGTATAACATTTGTATAAAATGTGTTTCTTACTGGGAGTTAGAGTAAAAAATATTATTCCATGTTTGACACCATGTAATTAGGATGTAAAATTATGGGATTAGTTAGATGAAGATGAAACTCTTAGTTGCTTTTCATTACCTTGGGTATAAAATTCTATATTGGAAGCTGTCTTTTGTGTACAAAAGTAATTGCAAAAAAAATCTCTGTGTTCATTGGTAGCTCTTTAAATAATAAGCTTGTGAGATATTTTTGAAGTTTTAATTTAAAATCCAATTAGTTAACATCCAGTGCAACATTAGTTTCAGGTGTACAACATAGTGACTGAACACTCCCATATATCACCTGCTGCTCATCACTCCTTAATCCCCATGCCTCCCCCACCTTTCCTCTGGTAACCATCAGTTTGTTCTCTGTAGTTAAGAATCAGTTTCTTGGTTTATCTCCCCCCCCCCTTTTCTTGTTTGTTTTGCTTCTTAAATTCCACATTTGAGTAAAATCTTGTGATACTTTGTCTTTGAATGACTTCCTTCCGTTTAGCATAATACTCTCTAGCACCATCATCCATGTTGTTGAAAATGGCAAGATTTCATTCTTTTTTTTTTTTTTTAAATGTTTTATTTATTTCTAGGAGAGAGAGAGAGACAGCGTGAACAGGGGAGGGTCAGCGAGAGAGGGAGTCACAGACTGAAACAGGCTCCAGGCTCCAAGCTGGCAGTCAGCACAGAGCCCGATGCGGGGCTCGAACCCACGAACCGCGAGATCATGACCTAAGCGAAAGTCGGACACTCAACCGACTAAGCCACTCAGGCGCCCCAAGATTTCATTCTTTTTTGTGGCTGAGTAATATTCCATTGTATAGCTTGTGAGATTTTTGCTTTTTGTGCTTTCTAATAAAACAATTGTTAGCCTCCTTTTGAGTACTGTGGGGAAAATTTCTTACTGAAACCCAAGATATTTTTCTTGAGAAGAATATACTTTATTAAAGATAGTAATCTAATAAGTGACATGTGATACTTATTACAAATGAAAATAACAGAAAGCACATTATGAAGGATAGTATAATCTACAAAGACATCTTTCATTCTCCAATAGATATAAATTATTAAAATATAATAAAGTTTATATTTTCAGTATTAATGTAAAATTTACTGAATAAAGAATTAAGGGAGAACTTACATGTTTTTAAAGCAAACGAAGTCCCTTAAAACATAACTATAGTACATGGATACAAAATTATTACATTACAAAAAAGTAAAATTATTCCCGTGCACTAGACCCTTGATAGGATATCTTTCCAGTCTCATAAATTAAATGGTGGTTGATTTTTCTCAATTGTTGTGCATGATGCTAAATTGCATCTTATACCCACTGGTAGTTTTGGGGGGATTATGGACCATTAACAGTAAAAGACATTGGGATTAGAGGTACCACCAGCAAACTTATTCAGCCCTCTGCTTTCTTTGCTGCAGTCTCCATTTACTGATGTAGCATCTTTCCTGTGGTCCACATGTCATCCTGACAGTCTTTTTTACTGCATTACACAGTTCAGCATGTATTCGGATGAGCCTGGGCTTCCAAAACCCGTAAAACTGTGTTTAATTCTTCTCCATTATGTCAACTTTCCGACTGTGGACAAGTCACTTGAGTCCTCTTAGCCTCAGTTTCTTTTGTTATAAAATGGAGATAATTCAGGTCACACATATGCTGTATATATGACATGTCAAATACATGCCTAGCATGGTAAAAAATAAATGATAGCTATTAATATACCTGCATTATGATTAATAGTAAATGGTAGTTCCCTTTCTACTTCCAACCAGAACTTTTATATATGGCCTATCATTTTCAAATAGAAGCTAACTAATTTTACTAAGCTTATCTGTGTTGTTGCCTGTTTGTTAGTGGACCGCTTTTTCCATATAATTTTACTGATGGTTTTGTGATACATTACGCTTTGGGTGATGGGAATTGCCTTACTGTCTGATATAAAAATATGAATATACTGGGCATGTCTATTTTTTAGTTATCCCAAAACCCAAAATAATAAATGAGCACTACTGTTTTATTTTCCTTTTCTGTAGTTATGTGCTGCTCATCTCCCAACTGAATCAGAGGCACCAAATCATTATCAGGCAGTATGTCGTGCACTGTTTGCAGAAACAATGGAGCTGCATACATTTCTGACTAAAATTAAGAGTGCAAAGGAGGTGAGTACTACTGCTTTCATATTATTGGTATTGTGAAAGATTAACCTGAATTTTCAACACTGTCCATCATATTATTTAAAATATTTATTACTATCCTTATGATGAATGCTGAAAATTATTTAGGAAAGAAACAACTTAGGCAAAATTAAATCTGTTTTTTTAAATTCCAGTATAGTTAACATATACTGTTTTTTTACTTTCAGGTATACAATATAGTAATGGAACAATTCTGTACGTTTTACTCAGCGCTCATCATAAATGTTCTGTTAATCTCCCTCACCTATTTCACCCATCTTCCCACCCATCTCCCCTCTGGCAACCATCAATTTGTTCTCTACTCAAGAGTCTCGTATTATGTATGTCTCTTTTTTCTTTGTTGCTTCTTAAATTCTGCATATGAGTGAAATCATATGGTATTTGTCTTTCTCTGACTGATTAATTTGGCTTAGCATTATGCCTTCTAGATCCAGCGATGTTCTTGCAGATGGCAAGATCTCACTCTTTTTTTTTTTATGGCTGAGTAGTGCTCCATTGTATATTTATACCGTATCTTCTTTTATATATTCATCTCCCGATGGACACTTGGTGGAGCTTCCATAATTTGGTTATTGTAAATAATGTTCGTGTAAACATAGGGATGCATATACCTTTTTAAATTAGTTTTATTTTGATGTAGTCCAAATAGTTTATTTTTACTTTTTTTTTTTTTTTTTTTTTTTTTT